AGCTATTTTTAATAGTTATTTAGGACTACGATTACCAAATATTATCTTCTATATTTCATATTTATCAGTCCGAGCTGTGTTTATTTATTTATTTATTTATTTATAAACTAGTATCTGACGCAAAGTGGAATGACAGTGGTGGAACATTTGGAATGCAATTAAGAACTAACTATTCTATTAATCGGAATTCAATATCGAAGTGTGACGTAACTGACTAGCTGCGTCGTATTCCATTGCATAAAACCAGAATTATTTTTCGACATGATTTCATCGGTTACTGTATTTCACTTTCACTCGGGCAAAACATTTTTGGTCATTCTTCAAGAATCCACCGAGTTTGCCGTTGATGGCGTTTTCGCTGGACTCTGAATCGATCACAGAAAACATTTTTCACACATGTAGGAGATAATACGCCGACGTAATTTCGAGTCAGTGTAGATCTGTTTCTTACCACTTGGCTTTTTCACTTGATAGAAATAACAGATAAACTTGGGTAAATCTACTCTTTTGATGGATACTGCGCTTAATATACATGTACGTATATATATATATATAATTACATTTCTAATTGAAGAATATTTAATTAACGTTAATTTACTAGACGTGTTATTTCGTATTTGTTCCGTCGGTTCATTAAGGACGCCATTGAGGGCACAGGGTGTGGGCAGGACCTCGAGGAATGTCATTTTATTATTTAAATATTTTAATTGTGTAAAAAAATAAAGAATTGTTCTTATAAATCCTGTTATGAGTGTATGTGCCGGGGGATTTAGGTTTGTTTTTATATATCCAGAGCGCAATAATTGTTCAACCATGCTACAATAAAAAGATGTCTCCAATGCAACAGGCAGGGAATTAATCAGCTGCTAGTATTAACCACAACATACATGGATTGTGTGTTGTCATTCTGAAGCTGAAATTGTAAAGTTCAAATTGGACGTGATTCGTTTTAAACGATCTAATATCATTACGAGTCTAGACTTCTCATCTATTTAGCATTTTTTTTGGAATAATCAAGAACGTGTCTTTTTATTTGTTTATTTAATACAAACTCCAATACAGATTCAATTCAGATTCATTATAATTACATCGAAATCGACAATAACTGGAGAGATTTTATTAATAGTTAGAATACATTCAACGCCATAAAATTTAGCTACAGGAACTGAAAAATACTGAAATATAAATTACAACACTGACAACATACATTGGCGAAAAAACAAAATGTTTCACCTCTCTCTTAAAAACTGTATTGTATGATGTGTTTTAAAACGTACTGTTTTTTTGAGAATTACTCACCGATTACTGTAGTATGTTGTAAAATGAAGAATTGCACAACCAGAGTTCTTTGAACAACATTCACCTACCTAGCCTAGACTGGGTTTCACTCGGGGATTATATATATATATATTTACATAACTATAAATTACTAAACAACTTGATTTTTTAATATTTATGCTGAATTTATTGCGTCATGTAAAATCATTCTGATGCCAGTTTAACCTATTCCATTCGACTCCACAGAAACGCGTCATTGTCAGCCTAGAGGGCTGGACTTTATGGAAAGGTGTATTTTCTGGATTATTTGTATTTTTTTTTACCCACAAACCAATACAATGTATTATAGAGAAAACCTAATTTTAAGTAGTTGGATTCACTCACATTTTTGTATTATTTGTATGTTTTTAGGTTAATCTAAACGTAAAGGGAAGACGCGGAAGGGAGTTTTTTTACTTCACCACTTAACACTGTAATGATATCCCGACGGTAACTATTGATACGTTGGCATGGCTACCCTGAGTTTATTAACGCGGCCGTTTGACTCGCTTTGTTGTTATACTACATAAGTTACCATTGTTCGGGTTTTTGTTCAGTGGAGATAGTTGTTTTTATCAACTGAATGAATTCCACATGACTTCTTCAGCAAAAAATGTCAAGTTATTCTTTATTACCTTAAAACGAGAGCATGCTTTATTGAAACTGTAGGGGCGCACCACTAAGCTAATCACGTGACTGTGTTATCATTTCCAATGATGAGTGAAAAAAGGCAGGCAAGTTTTACAGTGTAGCAAACAGTCAAGATGGCTGCTGCAGGAGTAGCGAAATCTGGCCTTTTAGAGGTCTTTGCCCGGGATCAGTGGTGTAGGGTACTTGCCACGCTGGGTGAGGAAGAGCTGACCATCAGCCTTGAAGATAATTTCGACGTAAATGGAGTGGCAAACGGCAATGCACTGGACCCAAGCCGCCACGATGCAATTCGCCAGTCAGATTACTACAGTAGCGAGAGGGATGGGCTTCCAGAGTCGATTGCTAACGCCGTGAGAAAAGTCAAAGTGGTCAAGCAAGATGTTGGTGGTTTGGGGATCAGTATAAAAGGTGGCAAGGAAAATAAAATGCCAATTATTATAAGTAAGATTTTTAAAGGGTTGGCTGCAGATCAAACGGAAAGCTTGTATGTTGGAGACGCCATCCTAACCGTAAATAAGGAAGACTTGAGAGACGCTACACACGACGAAGCTGTGCGAGCTTTGAAGCGAGCAGGCAAAGAAGTAGAACTCGAAGGTAAATACTTCTCTTTTTTTCTGGTTATGTCAAGATGTCTAGTTTTCTGGTTTTGGTTTCCCATAAAGGAACTAATATCAAAGCAGCCGTACAATGATTGGGAGAAAGGTCAGACCAGCCTTTCCTAGGTCAGATGCATTCGCATATTGAGACGGAAATTGCGATCTATTTTTTAAGCATACACGTACCGTCAAATCTAACGTAACCCTTCCGGTGATTCTGTGATGTGCTAATAAAGACGCGGGTATAAAAATATCCTCATGCGTTGACAGGGAGACAAAAAAAAAGCCCTTGGTGGTAACATAAACACGGAAGACTCGACAGTTATAAGTATTGTCCTCATTCAACGATTGCCATGAGCTTAAATTTGTATGGAAACAACTAGAGTGAGTTTATTGTATTGTCAAAGTCAAGAGTGTGATTAGGTGAATTTGCTTTATTTAAGATATCCTATTAAAAGAGCAATATTGGAATCTAACCCCTTAGATTTATTTTTCTCTCTATGGTTCCACCTTTTTAATGACCTGAAAATATTAACGACTTCGTCCTTCACTATGTGAGCCTATTTTATAACCAGGTCACTGGCTAAATTTTTTCTCCAACACATTCTTAAGATAGAATACAGTTGTCTAAAAAAATATTTAAGTTATTTAATCTGTGTTTGTCATTTGTGATCTTCATGTTAAAATTATGCTGTTGACAAAACTTAATTTTGATAGCTCTTTCAATTTTGAATAACTTGTCTAAAAACTATATTTGAAAGTTATTGCGAGTTATACTATAATTAAAACCTAATGCATTGCGGCACTTTTTGATCAAGTTATTTATAGTTTACTACAATAAATCCTGGGATGGATCGCTGGTAGAATTTGTGTCCTAAACATCTAACTTGTAGGATGAATGTACGATAATAAAGTCAGCCAATATTCCTGAGGTAGGGTTCTTATTGGCTAAACAGGAAACAGTTCTCAAGAGTCTTGTGTGCATCTTAATGAAAATATTTTATTGTTGAACAGTGTGACAGATTCATTAAATTGTTGATCTAATTCCATTACAACCAAATCTGTAAAGCTGTTTAGTGATGTTGCATTGGGTGCAGTACTCTTATTTAAATCAGAAGGGTCGTCACTTGGGCACATGCGGGAATTAAGTTTTAAACACTGATAAATGCAACAAAGGCTCATTGGTAAATAGTAGGTCATTGGTAACTGTGATTAACATTTCAAAAAATTCAAACTAAAATTTGCCAAAATACAACTTGTTCAAAATTACTAGAATACAAATATCTTTTTAATCGTTGCAAGCAAGCTTGACCTAGTTTTCAATTATATGATTGTACCCAAATTGTATTATCATAACAAAGGAATTATAAAATAAGGATATGCAAATTAGATATTTATGTAAGATTATGTCAGGAAAATCTTTTCCATGTGATCATATAGGTTTGATTATATTAACACAAATGAGCAAGATTATTGTCTTATTCAAAACGGGATAATGCACATACCATTAGCAAGACCCTTTTCAAGTTAAAGTTGCACTCATATATGCATGTATATCACATCTGTTTTTGTTTCTCTTCACATCACCAAAACTTACAGTGCTGTAAAAACTGCTGGTTTAGACTGAGACTATGTGATACTTATCATTTTAATTGGCAGAGGAAACTTCCACCAGTGTTACTTTGTCATGAAAACATGGTATTTGTTAAGTGTAATCACTCAACAAATTTACTTCCTAGATTAAAATTCACAGATAAATAGTGCAAACATAAACTGTGATGTCCCAAGATTGCCTGCTGAATTCCATGACATTGACTACAATCATGCAGCGTGTGTTCAAACAATGTATTTTACACGTGTTGTATACGACACTATGGGTCCCACATATGACATTATGGTCCCATATACGGCACTATGGGTCCCACATACGGCACTATGGGTCCCATATACGACACTATGGGACCCATATACAGAACTATGGGTACCATATTGAATATGACGGGATAATATCTCTGCCTTAGAAATCTATGGTAAAAGTGTTATAATATTGTCAAAATGGCCTTTACCCACTGAAATACAACCATAATTTTCTTGAAAATTAAGCTGGTGACCCTCAATTTTTGAAAGTCAATATCTTTGTAATGCCTGGAAGTATAATTTATTGGAGAGTGAATAAATTCTGGGTATTTGCATTCATGAGTAGGCTTCTACATAAAATATATATATAATAAAAGTGTGTGTAGACTTATTCTATGCTATTCCTTTAACTTCCATTCTGACTATATAATTGACCTTAACCATCATAATGTCACCTCTGACAAGAGATACAGTCTTCAAATTTCACTGTCACAAGATCAGAAAGTTACAACTATGAATAACATGGTATTGATTGTATGCCAAATTTATAATGATTTCTTTGAAAACCTAGTTAGATTTGAGAGCAGAAAGGAATAAGTAAAAGTCCCTCGTGAATAAACTCAATCACAGTTATGTAATAGTGATGGTAAATATACCACTACCGTACGAAACAGAAGTTTTTTAAAATTGTATATAGACTGGGCTTATTGTGTTCAGTCTTGAAGTTGCTGTTTTACACATAAACTTTTATAACATAATATCAAGAGATGTTATATCTGAACTCATGATTGCAGAGAATTTGTTGGTTTTCGTGAAAACAGTGAAATTTTTAATTACTTTTGCTGCGTTGTCAAAAAGTAAATTCCTTTGCTGTTCGTATTTGAGCAAATAAAGGAACGACTGTAGTTGTGACAGCTCGTTGTAAATTGTTGTTGATTGCAGTAAGTTAGCGATTCCATTTGCGTGCCTAATGACGTGTGAATTCATCATTTCTGTAACTCAATTTGTCAATCTAATAAATGAAGAGTTTGAAGTGAATTATTTCTGTAGTTAAGAGGGAAGTTTACAAGACACAAGTAATATAATTCAGTGTTGGCGTTCCATTCTGTAGACTGCACTACTGTGCTGTGGATGGGTGGAGAGGCTTTGTTTATACTTTTTATAAATGGAACCTACTTTTGTGAATTCTGTAGAAACAGTTGTGCAAAATGATCCCACATTAAGAACCTGTAGGACGCAATCTTCATGATTATAGACTTCTCTCACAATTGTCCATTCGGAAGACAATTATCCCATTTTGGTGTCTACATCTGGATGTCTGGTGTGGTTTTGTAATTCAAAGGTGGATAGTACAGTGAATAGTACAAACAGTACACAGCATGCATAGTTAACATGCCTTAGTCTGACCTACAAAAATCTTTGCTGTATTAAAACTTACTATCACTATCGCTGTATCTTTTTGTCACCACCCATGTAAGACATCAAACTAGTATTTAATGGCCTTTAATATAAGGGATCACTGCAGCTGGAGTCTGTCATATGATCACATTACCATGCTTAACACTCCACTTCTTTTTTTGATGAGAGGCTTAAGAATTTGACTTGTTTCCTGAATTTTAATTAAATAATTTAATTGATAATGTAATTGGTGATGCCCTGCCCACACTTTATGGATAGCCATATACATTCCTATAGTAATAGATTTACCCATAACGTTTTAAATATTAAATTATTTAACTGCTTCTGAATCTTGTTGATGTCTGTTCTGGCTATGATTGACAAATTAGCCTTGTTCAGCATACTGACTTGTCATTCAGCTTCATTGCTTCATTGCTGTGAGTGTTTCTGGTCATTCTATGTAAACCAATTCTAATGCTACCATAAACATGACCTGTACTTGTAATGGCATTCATAGCATTCCATCACTCCTTTGGAAATTGTTAAGTTATAATTACGGTTTCTGATATCACTGTATCTTTTATAACTACACTCTCCCTTTATTTCACATTCATGTGAGTTCCAGTACTCTGCCATGTAGTTTTTAATTATACTGGATGAAACACTAAAACACAAGTCAGTCAAGTTTTGCTGACCAATCTAGATATCGGTAAACGAATCCTTGTAAAATAATAACCACAATTTAAAAAAACAAAACATTGATCAGTCAAATTTGTTTCCTTATTTGTTGGACTTTCCAAACCCAGTACTGTGTATATTTCAAAATATATATATCCTATACTATTGTATGCAGGCCACATACTGTAGAATACTTTATTTTCGCTATTTTCGCTGAAGGGATGATTCCGTGAATATAAAATCCAGCGA